TATTGGATCCTGGATATTGTGAATGGAACATTGTTGAGTGTCTGGATTTTGTTGTCTGTCTTTAAAGAGAGTTGCTTTTTATTTTGAAAAGGATCAATTCGATCCTTTGTGGATTTGGTTAAACTTTGTAAGGGAAAATCTAGAGTAGCCTTTCTCTCGGGTTAAATTAGCCCTCCCATTAAAACATAACCCTTTTGGGGTATCTACTAAATGCCTAGGTATTCAACAACAACGTCTCTCCTCTTTGGCTGGTTGAAAGTTGAACATCTCTCAGGTCCTGTGAGCTTTGCCAATTGTTCAGCTTTACCAGTAGATTTTGTATGGCCTCATGGAATTGCACCTTATATATGGATAGCTCAGTATTTAGCATCAGACTCTAGGAGACTCCTCTGCAGATTTCTGGATCTCTCTCTCTCTCTCTGCATTGCTTCTTTTTCTCAAATAGTCTGCCCCACAACTTCCAGCCACCTTAGACCATGTAAACTTAGATCTCTGTCTCCTCAACCCAGCGAGATGGCCCTGCTCTGCTTGAGCTCCTCCTCACTGTGCTGAGGTCCAGAAAGTGCCTTCGGGCAGAAAGCCCACAGTAATTGTAGGGCCATGATTTCTCCCACTGTTTCTTTTCCTTCACTGCCACAGTCCTTCTCTGCTCCTTTCCAATGTCTGAAAAGGAGTCATTTCATATCTTTTGTCTAGTTTCCTCATTGTTTAAGAAAGAAGGACTAGCCTGGTACCAGTTCTCCATGGTGGCTGAAACTTTTTACAACTTTTAATTTCAGTCTGCAACTGTATATATATATAAATATATGTATATGCATATGTGTGTGTGTATATATATATCTTTTTTCTTGTTATTTCATGTCACTTTTTTAAATTTCTGTTTAACATTTTAGTTTCTTTTTCTTCTAAATTATTTTAAATTATATGCTGTTTCTCTGCATCTTGGGCTCTACACTCTTTATCTTTACATTTGTGGAACATTTGTATAGATTTGTGTTGTGATTTTCTATTCGCTCACCCGTGAGCAGATAGGGAGCCTTGCCATCCTGGTGCACTGGTTACAAGTGTGCATGGAGCCTCTTTCCTAATCTTCACTGTCCATTTGGATGCTATTTTTGCCCTTTTCCAGGTATTCATCTGGAATGCTGGTTGATGTATTTTGCCATCTTTGATTTAGTGTCAGTCTGTTGGTCTGACAGAGGATATCTTTTTTTTTTTTTTTAAGATTTTGCTTATTTATTTGACAGAGAGAGAGAAAGAGAGAGAGAGAGCACAAGCGGGGGAGTGGCAGGCAGAGGGAAAAGCAGGCTCCCTGATGTGGGGCTTGATCCCAGGACCCTGGGATCATGACCTGAGCCGAAGGCAGTGCTTAACCGACTGAGCCACCCAGGCACCCGTGACAGAGGTTATGGTTACCATGCATGAGAAGTACTGTTTTTCCTGCGTGATCTGAGTATTTGTGGTTTTCACCTTGTAAGAAAAAAAGTGTATAAAACGTGACCAGCTTCACTCTACATTTCTTCTACAGGTTAAAGTTCAGGCTGACTTTATTTTATTGACTGATCTTTAATTTTAAGTTAATTTTTTTTCTTTAAGAAGTAATATTTTAACATGTTTCAAAATTCAAGATAGTCAAAAGATATGCTGAAAAGTTTCCCTCTGACAACTGTCCTGTAGCTACCCAATTTCCTTCTTTGTAGGTAATCAATTTTACCAATTTCTTGTGTATTTTCCCAGAGGTAGTCTCTCTATATACATGTACATATTATCCTCTGCCCCTCTTTTCCACACACAGTAACACAGACTATACACTTATAAAAAAATATAATTACACTTCTTGAAGATTTCCACTGCACATAAATAGAAGCTTGGTTGTTAATGGCTGCATTGTATTCCTTTTTTTTTTTTTTTTTAACACAGGGCAGAGCCCAAGCCCTAGAGGGTTTTCTCTGGAGGGCGGTGCCCCCCCACCCCGCCCCCCAGGAGCAGGAAGGATGAGGACTAGGAGAAAAGCCCAGGGCCCAGCTGTGATGGAGGTGGCAGCAGCTGCAGGCTCACACCATTCTCTGACTGTGTCCCCAGGCCCAGGGGGCGGTGCTTTTCCCTCTTTCGTACCTTCCATTTTTTAATGTATATATTTTATTTGGCCATTTCCCTATTTATTGACATTTAGGTTGTTTTCTATTTTATGCCATTATTAATAATTATGTAATTAATACTTAATAAAAGTGTCATTTTTGTACATATGTGAGAATATTTATAGTTAATTTGCAGGATAAATTCCCAGAAGTGGGTGAATGAACATGTGCGTTTGTAATTTTCAAATATTGCCAGATTACCTTCTAGAGAGAGAAGACAAAATTGCTCTAGTTTGCCAAGGACTGTGTCCCAGTGTAGTTATTAATAATAATACCTCTTGTTCTTAAGTGTCTGATTTGGATGACAAACTACATGGTCACCTCTATCTGTAGAGCTTGCTCCAGTTTACATGCTCAGCGCGAGCCTGGCTTTTAGTACCTGTTTATATGCTGACATCTCTCACATTTATGTTTCCTCTTTTGAGGTTCAGACATCTGCCTATTTGGATATCTCACAGAAAGCTCAACCCAACACGTCCAAAATAAACTTTTGGGTCCCCCCCAAAACTGATCCTCCAATCCAGGTTTTTACATCAGCAAATGGCAATACCATGCATCCCTTTGTTCAAGCAAAAATGCTGGGATTCACGCAAGATTCTTCCATTTTTTCCACTGGCTGAGTGGCCACAAGCAAGCCACTATCCTCCCTAAGCTCAGCTTCCTCGTTAGCAAAACTAGGATCACACTGCCTGCCTCATGGCACTGCGGCGGTGATGATATGAGGCAGCATATGTGAAAACATACTTCTTGTTTTCTGGCATATACTAGAGGATCAAAAATTGTCCTTCCCTCTCCTTCCATCCTTCCAAATCCTGCCCTACATGTGCCCACAACCCTCCTTGTATTCCTATCCATGTAGTATAAATGTGACTCTTGGCTCAGAATGAGTTGTTTCAAATGTCCTTCTATAGGCCCTTGTAGAATATGGAGTTTCTTTCTGTAAGTCTATACCAGAAGAGTCCCAAGGCCAGCCTCAATACTGAAGAATGATCTGCATGCTTGTTAGACGTGAAATGATCTTAATACTATCAAGATTCAGAATGGTAACATATATATCTTTGTGAATTGTTTCCTTTTAAACATTTTTCTGGCCAGGCAGCTGTGGTGATTCACTTTTCAAAATGACTTACACTCTTCTCTAAACTTTAATTTTAGAAGGCTTGGGGCTTACTGGATTATAGAATTTTCTTTTCTTTTTGTCTTTTTTTTGTTTTTTTGGGGTTTTTTTGGTTCTTTTAAAGAACACCCACCTTCTGAATGCAGTTGCAGTGATGTGCTGGGAAGAACACTGGCCCTGGAACCATAGCACCAGGGTTGAAATCCTGCTTTGGCTGCTTCTCATCTGAGTGACCTTCAGCAAGGAGTGTGAGCTTTGTGAACTCAGAGTCCTCATTCTCTCTTGGATGCTTTTGTATACTTTCTTGTATCTCATCCTTATGCTGTTATTTAAAAGATGAGTTTCAATGAGAAAAAGGTGTGTAAACCTGCTAAGCATCTAGCAGGTGTTTGTTCCAACATTCATCAAACCTGATTTATACAAGCAGAAAAATTGTGACTGTGTGACCTGGTGGCCACACTGAGTACAGAAGCTTAAACTATGAGACCCCGTGAAAGAGTATCTGGGACAAAAAGCGCTCAGTTCTTTGAACTCTTCCATGGAACTGGAAAGGCCATTCCTTCACAGCACAGTTGAGAAAGGGAAGGCCTACTGGGCTCAGTGGCTGCCCCGGTTCACAGAGCTCATTGGTGGAGGAGTCAGGGCCAGATTTAACTGAAGCTCAAATGCAAACGGTCTTACAATGTTCTGGACTCTTCTCACTCATAGACATTCTCTTGACTTGAAGACCAAAAGTGACCTCTCCACTGAATTCCTTATGGAGCAATACCAGCCAAGCCCCTGTGCTAGGATTTTAGGAGAAGGCTGTTGAAGGGAGAATGTGTTTTGAAAGGGGAGGAAGAAGAGGAAGTAGTGAAGAGGATGCAGCCATTTGTGAAACATCTCTCAGGTGCCAGCTACCTCAGAATAGATCAGGAAGTCATGTCTCAGAGAAGGAACCCACGAACCTCCTTCTCTTCCCTAAAGAATAAGCCTGTGGGCCACACTCAGGCAGCCCACAGTCCCTCCTCCTCTCTCAGTCTCCGTTCATGACTGACTCCCACAGCCATGGACACGGAGCATGTGTGGACAATGGGAAGCCAAACCACTAGCACTGCTGCTGCAGGATGTCCGTTGGCAAGCGTTGAATGACCAGAAAGAAAACTGAGGAGGGAGCACTGATGAGGGACAAAGATACCGTGGCCAGTCCTCATTCGTCTCTTCCCTTCCACGGAAATCTGACGAATTGCAGGGTGGCTGTCCTCATGATGCCATTCTGGCCTGAATCCACTCGTTTGTGAAAAGGACGAGAATTGATTGTCCTCTCATTTTCCCCAAATGGGGACACCCAAGGTGAAAGAGGTGCTTTGACTTCTCAAAGTACAGCCCACTCTACATGGGTGACATTAATACATGTGGAATGTGGCCCTCTCAAAAAACTGAAACGCATGGTCTGACAAAGGTCTTTATTTTGACTTATGAATTTAGTTTTGAGAAAAATCTTACAGAGGCTTAATAGTTGAGTGACATTGAGCTGAGAATTTAGCAAATCACTTTTGTCATAAAGAATAAAATGACGTGGGGGCGCCTGGGTGGCTCAGTTGGTTAAGCGACTGCCTTCGGCTCAGGTCATGATCCTGGAGTCCCGGGATCGAGTCCCGCATCGGGCTCCCTGCTTGGCGGGGAGTCTGCTTCTCCCTCTCCCGCTCCCCCCTCTTGTGCTCTTTCTCTCTCTCACTCTCTCTCTCAAATAAATAAATAAAATCTTTAAAAAAAAAAAAAAGAATAAAATGACGTGGAATCTGGGCCATCCTGGAAAACGCAGGCCATATGGTCACCATAGGTACAGGTGACAGACGACACAAGAAAGCACTTTATGGGTTTGCCAATTTACCACCTAATTTTAATCAAATACATGGGTATGTTAAAGAGGAAACCCTTTCCTTTGGGATGGTAATAATAGCAACAAGCAATACCTTGCTTGGATAGCCCTCGAAAAATTGCAAAGTTCTTTTGCATAAATTATCTCATTTGATCCAATCCATATGTGTAAGAACAGTCACACATACCAAGGCAGAAATGTCAAGATGGATAAAGTTCAAATTCTCTCATACACTGCTCACCAGCCCAGGCAGGCCCGGGTTTTCTCACAGGCGTGTTCTCAGTAAACAGAGGAAGGTGACCCAGGGCTGTGGGGAGGTGAGGGGTCAGGAGGACAATCCCCCTCACACCGTCTGGGGAACTTCTCCAGTTTCAGGTCATCAGGCTGGTTTCCCAGAAGCCAGCATCTGCAGTTCTCTCTCGGCTTTACTCATTCCCTCAACTCTAGAAAGCAGTAGTCAGGCCAATGACCAGGCGCCATGAACCGACGCTAGTTCTCATAGGTTGGAGCTCACCAGGGGCGCATCTCAGAGGCCAGGCTGGATCAGGTAGGGAGGAGAAATAACCCACAGATTAGAACCAGCATGAGCCATTGAGGGAGAGAGCCAGGGGCTACACTAGAGCAACACGGTCGGCTTCAGATTTGAGGAGAGGGGGAGCAGGGCTGTTTAACCCAGAAACTAGGCAAGAGGGCTGAAAGGTGAGGGGAAATGACTGGGGAGCAAGGGAAGTTTTGGGAAAAGAGGGAGCCATTCCAGCTGTGTCCTGGCCGAGTAGGGCAGGAAGGGCTGGCTTGCTTAAAAGCCCAGGGCTTAGAGGGAGACAACATAGTCCAAACCTGGTTAGGTGTGTGGGTGGGTGGTGCAATTTTGTTGTCTATTTTCCAGGCTAATAGACTCAGGTGTTATCAGGTATCTTGTCTCCTCCTCTCCATGGCTTCAAATATAGTGTCTATGTCCATATCTACAAGTATATTTCTTTTTATTTTATTATGTTATGTTATATTTCTAACTCAGACTTCTCTTCTGAATGCCAGACCTATATATCAACATTTGACATGACTGCTTGGAGTCTCCAAAGCAGTTCAAGCTTAACACGCCAAAAAGGCATTCTTAACTCAGTCACTCTCACCTAGTCCTCTGTTATTTTTTTCTAAATCTCAATAACTATAAAATTGATGTCATTCTTGCCTCCCCTTCCCTGCCTCCAGAATATTATTCGTCACCAAGCTGTGTCAGCTTTATCCCAAAACATATCCAGAGTGTCTTCTCCATTTGCTCAGCTAGCCACCGAGAGATGCCTCCCGTCTGTTGACTCCTGAACTCTTGAGTGATCTTCCTGCTTCTACTCTGACTCCTTTCTGTTTGTGTCTCACAGATTAGCTCGAGTGTGTTGTTGTTTGTTTTTTCAGTGTTGACTGAGTCATACCTCTTTCCTTTTTAAAACCTTCAGTGGCTTCCTATTGCACTTAGGATAAAATCCTTCACATTGCTTACAAAGCACTGGAAATCTATTATTTTCCCACCTCTCCAGTTCTGTCTTATTTCATCTTCTTCTTCACTGCACAACAGGCATACTTTATGATTCTCAAACACTGTAATTTTTTCTACTTCAGGGCCTCTGCACATATGATTTCCTCTGCCTTAAAAACCATTTTCCTGAGCCCAGATGTCCATTAACAGATGAATGGATAAAAGCAGATGTAGTGTGTGTGTGTGTGTATACATATACACACACACAATGGAATATTACTCAGCCATCAAAAAAAGTGAAATCCTGCTATTTGCAATGATGTGGATGGAACTAGAGGATATTATGTTAAGCAAAATAAGTCAATCAGAGAAAGGCAATTATCATATGATTTCACTCATATGTGGAATTTAAGAAACAAAACAGAGGAGCATAGGGTAAGGGAGGGAAAAATAAAACAAGACAAAATCAGAGAGGGAGACAAGCCATAAGAGACTCTTAATCATAGGAAACAAACTGAGGGTTGCTGGACGGGAGAGGGGGTGGGGGGATGGGGTAACTGGGTGACTGACATTAAGGAGGGCACGTGATATAATGAGCACTGGGTGTTCTGTGCAACTGATGAATCACTGAACTCTACCTGTGAAACTAATAATACACTATATGTTAATTAATTGAATTTAAATTAAAAAAAAAACATTTTCCCCACTCTTTGCTTACTTAACCCCAACTTATGCTTCATGTATCAGCAAAAATGCTTCTCCTTAGAGAGACACTGAACCTCACAATCTAAATCATACCCCTGTGTCAATTAGTTCTTTGGTGCAAGCACAGAAACCAACTGGTTAATCCAGGAAGAAAGGGAACTAATTGGAACAATTGAGAGCATGCAGAGATTGAAAGGAAAACCGATAAATAGGCTCAGGAAGGGCAGGGACCAGTGATACATGGATCCAAGTGACAAGAACTGATGGTTGGTCTATTTATCGTGCTTTCACAGCAGAGAATGAGATCTTACCTTTCCTTGTCTTTTGTGTCTTTTCAGTTGAGGTTAAGGTCCAGGGAGAGAATCTGATGGGCACAGCTCATACCGTGTGCACAAGCCTCATAGGAATAGGGTGGAGCCATTCAAGTTCTCCTGCTTGAAAGAAGAGAGAACTTGAATGATAGTAGCTCTGTGAAAACTGCACACAATGGAGAGTAACTCCCTTCTTAGGCAATGAGTGCATTCTTATCAGAAGGAGGAATGGATGCTGGATGCCAAGTGGGTGAAGGTTCTCATTGCATGCTTTCATTGTACTGCATGCTTGTCCTCCATAGCAAGTCACCATCTGTAATTATGTAGTGCAGCAAACACTGGGTGAGTGTTTCTCACTCTTCTTCTTCCTTTCCCTTTACATTTTCTTGCCATTTTTGCAGGGAGGAAGTAGCCATGTGACCAGTTTCTGCCAGTAAAATATAGGGAAAATGGTATATGGTCCTCTAAGCCTGGTCTCTAAAGTCTCCCAAGATCCTCCACACTCTTTTCTGTCCACACAGTTGGGAACTAAGAAGTCCAGAATGATGGGGCCACAACATGGGAGAGCTGGATCCTTGAGCCACCACTTGGAAAGAGCTGACCAAGATCTGAGCAAGAAATAAAATTTTATTATATGAAGTCACTGAGATTTTGGGGGTTGTTTGTTACAGCAACTACCAAGCATTACTCTGACCATTACCAATTTATTTTAGTGTTTGTTGCTTATCATCTGTCTTCTCCAAGAGATTATAAACTTTACAGAGTCATGGATTCGGTCTGTCACTTAGCACCTAACATAGTGAAATTCAATAAGTATTTTTTAAAAAAGCAAATGAATTTTTCTTGCCCAACCTTTCTTTCTCCAATTTTTCTTTCAATAAAGGAAGGAATGAGAGCTAAAGAGACTTTCCTGACACTCTCTCTGCTCACCTGATGGGCTTCCCACTAGGCAGTGGGTTCATAGACAGGAAGTCTTAGGCCATTTCTTCAAGTCAGTGTCACAGATGCATCAAACTGCTTCCGCACATCATGGGCACGTGAGGAATGTGATTGAAATCTAACAGCAGGTTACCTGTGACATTGCAATTGCTTCAGTCATTTCTTTGTCTTTAAAATGCCATATAATTGCTAATGTAATTAGTAATGTATACAGAGGGGGCTTGTGCAATTACTGAGTCCTAAGATCAAGTAATTAATGTTCTGTCAACAAAACAGCAACTGTTTCATTAACAACTGCTTGGATCTGGAAACAAGCATAATCAGATGCAGACAGATCAACTAAACATTATCAACTCAGCTGATTTTTTTAGACACGAAAATGTCAACCCCACAACAGTAAACACAATGGAATTTTAAGACTATCTTTTTCCAGTTCAAAGAAATCCATAGTTGGATAGATAAATAGATAGATAAATAGAGAAAGGGGGTAGGGGAGAAAGATGATAGATAGATAGATAGATAGATAGATAGATAGATGATAGATAGATAGATAGATAGATAGATGATAGATAGATAGATGATAGATAGACAGATGATAGATAGATGATAGATAGATGATAGATAATAGGTGATAGATAGATAGATAGATAGATAGATAGATAGATAGATAGATGATAGCTGATAGATAGAGACAAAACCAAATAGCCTTGGTTTTTTTCAACCTGAAAAGTACTAAGAATCTCACATCTAAATACCATATGAAACTGAACTCTGAAAATCAGCTATGCCTCTGTGCTTTTCCAATGTGCCCTTATAAAAAGCATCTAATCTGGATGCAATTTTCTCATCTGAAAAATGAAGCGACAATCTGAGCTTGTACATTGCAATGGGAAAGGTGAGGGAAAGGGACGGACATCTAAGGAAAGGTCTGTTTGAGTGTATTAGCTTGTGCTGTGATACGCTGTATAATAAATAATCCCCCCAAATTTCCGTGGATTCCAACAACAAACCTGTATCCTTGCCTGCGGGTCTGTAGGTCAGCATTTTAGCAGCATTGCATCAAGTTGGGTTCAGGGCTGTCTCATGTCTTTCTATTTTAGGACCCAGGATGAAGGAGCAGTAGGAGGCTGGAGCATGTCCTTCCTGTGGGAAAGGGAGAGAACACAGAACCCACACTATAACAGCATACCTCTGCTCGGATATTCACATTTCACTGGCCAAACAGGTCACATGGCTAAGCCCTCTACTGGTGTGGAAAAGTCTACTCCTTTCATGGGAAGAGGAAGGAGAGGGAATATATGCTCAACAAGAATGCCCCACACCTGGGTGGCTCAGTAGTTAAGTGTCTGCCTTCCGCTCAGGTCATGATCCCAGGGTCCTGGGACGGAGCCCCGCATCGGGCTCCCTGCTTGGCGGGAAGCCTGCTTCTCCTTCTCCCCTCCCCCTTCTTGTATTCCCTCTCTCGCTGTGTTTCTCTCTGTCAAATAAATAAATAAAAATCTTAAAAAAAAAAAAAGTAGTTCAGGGCATAGAAAAGACAGATTGTTTAAGAAAAAAAAAAGAATGCCCCAATGAGAAATTATTTTCAATTTCGCAGTTTCTATCATTAGTCATGAGCTCCCTAGTTTCAGAGAAAAGTGACCAAATGAGGCAAATACTTTTTAAAATTCCATGTTTGCCTGGAAAAGATGGTGTCCTATTTGGAACAATAGAGCACTCAGATGAGAGTCAGGAGACACTTGTCCTATTTCAGTGTTACTATTAGCTAATTTTATGACCCTAGGCAAGTCACTTCACAACTATGGGCCTGTTTCCTCACTGTTAAAGTAAGAAGTTTTGACAAGGTGATGTTCCCCGTGGCTTTTAGCCTGAAAATTCTAATCTGCTGTGGATTACCTTTTTGAGTAGATGTTTAGCACTCTTTGGGGTACGGAGCAATAGTCAGCTAATACTTGCTTATTAGAGAAAGACTCAATGCAAAGGAGGCAGATGTAAAAGGAAAGCTGCTCAGTTGGGGAAACGTGCGTTACTAGCTGTCCCCAGCCCAGCCCCCAGGATCACTTGGGTCGTATAAATGAAGCCTGGGCCTCACATGGTAGAGTTGCCCATACAAGAATTAGATCCATAGTGGATCAATTCAGAGCACCTGTCTTTGAGACTTCTAATTTGGGACACATATTTGAAACTCTTGTCTCTTTCCATGGATATTATAACATGTAGATCAGAAGTCATTGGGACATCCCAAGTAAACTCAGTTTCAGATACTCTGGAGGACAGCTGTCTCTCCCTTTAAGGTGCCCCCTGAGGCCCCTGAAAGTAAATTTCACAAACTTTACTTTACCTAGATTTTTGACCAGACCACCCCTCATATACCCTCAAGATTAAGTGAGAAATCCATCCAAATGTTTACATGTGATGCCATTAGACACTAACAGCCTTGATTTTTTTTTTCCAGATTGACTGTACTTCCAGAGCATGTCTTGCTTGGGATTAAGGGTAGATGGGGGCAACGGAGGGCATGCCACTGGATGGGAAGCATCAAACTCATAGCTGGAGAACAAATGTTGCTTGCACATTTGATTAATAAAGCCATCTCTCTCCTCCTCAGAAACAGGAAAAGAAATTACACTCCAGAGTTAATGCCTGAAAGCACTCTGACATTCTTCACGACTTCAGTAGATAGCTGTAGCCCCATTACAGCAAGCTGTGAGACCTCAGGACTCACGCATCCCTGTGTTTCAAACTTTTCTGTCAAAGAACTCTGACACCACTGGAAGGGCTGGGATGTGGTCTGAAAACCTGCTACCATGCACACTTTCTTTGCAGATGTGCTTTTTTTTTTTTTTTTTTTTTTAAGTAGGCTCCATGCCCAACGTGGGGCTGGAACTTAAAACATGGTGGAGTCGCATGCTCCACCAATTGAGCCAGTCACGGGCCCCTTTGCAGATGTGCTTTTCATCTTTACATATTTAAGTAAAATCTGTATTCACATTTTTAATATATAAAATACTGCCCCCCCCCAAAAAAAACCCACTTTGAATAATACTGAGGCAATGTAAGTGGTCTGCTTATCATGTCTCCTAGCCACACACACAGTTTGGAACATTTGCAACCTTTGTGACTTCTGATGTGACAAGTCAGATTTTTTTTCCCCCCAGAATTTCAGAATTAATGTCTTGATCTGTATCCTAAGGATCATAGTACTTTATCTACAAAAGGATTTTGAGAGGAATGAAATGAGACAGCTGGTAGAAGCAACCAGCAAAGCATCTGGCACACTGAGGGCAAAGCAGCTGTCATCCACACCGTACCACGTTCCCACCGCCACATTCACTGCTAACTCTGCGCCACCATCGGGGTGTTGGTTTGCCAAGTTGGAGAGCAGCCTTGTGCTCTACAGTGTGGTTTGCATTTCTCTCTCTGGGGTAGGGTAACTGAATTGTTCCCAAGGAAGCTCTCTGAGATCTTTCAGAACTTCCAGAGCAAATGAGAGGCTCCAGAGTTCCATCTTCCCCCCAAACGAGCTCCCGCCCCTAAGAACTCTTCACCATATCACCTCCTCTGTACACCACTCCCTGCAAACCCCACTCCAGAAATACTCACCCAGTTGCAAGCTTTCGTCCTCATGGTGGGAGATTGGGCCTTCCTCATAGAAGGAGATGGTTTTATTGCCAAAGTGAACAATAAAGGCTGTCTTCATGGTTGAGCTGGTTTTACTCATACTTCTGACATCAAATGTGTGGCTTTTACTCCTGGCATCGACCAATTCTGATACCAACTGGGTATCCTACAATTCAGTTCAATTCTTTTTTTTTTTTTTCCATACATGGCAGCTCGCGTTGTTTTTATTAAATGGATTGTAACTGTCTTTTTGGAAAAAAAAGTATCTAACTACAACCCAAAACACTAAAAATGGAGTTGATGTACTGCCCAAAATCACACAGGTATGTCATTCATCTTCTTCTTATCTTTTACGTAGGTAAGAATACATTAACACATACCAAAGTAATTGATTATTAGGGTTTTGGTTCTTCAAGGATGTTGGTATCGGGATTGGTTTTATTGGTGGGCTCTCTCTGTATTGCTGAGGTGTCAATTCTTAACACTACCTCAAATTAGCACCATACTCCAAAGGCTTAAGGGTTCAGTCCCACAAGACTGTACTGAGTTCAGAACCAGTCTCAAGTGGGGTGCCCAGATCATTCATACTTCTGATTTGGAAAAAATTGGGGGTTCCCATGATCCCCCCTCAGGTTTGACAATTTGTTAGAATGCCTCGTAGAACTCAGGAAAACACTTCACTTACTATTAGCAGTTTGTTATAAAGAATGCAACTAGGGAGAGCCAAATGGAAGCGACGCACAGGGGAATGTACTAGGGACAAGGCACACAATCCTCTCGGCACCTCAGTGTCTTCACCTAACCCAGAAGCTCTCTGAATCCCATAGTTTAGGGGTTTTTATGGAGCTTTCGCTATGTAGGCAGGATTGATGAAATTGTTGGACATTGGTTATTAACTCAATCTCCAACCCCTCTTTCCTCCCTGGAGGTTGGATGTGGGGCTGAAAGTTTCAAGTTTCTAATCCCAGAAGGTCTTTCTGGTGACCAGCCCCTACTGAAGCTATGACCAGCTGCAGGAGCTATCTGGGCCTGCAAAGAGTTGCCTCATTAGAACAAAAGAGGCTCCTATCCCAATTATCACTCAGGAAATTCCAAAACTTTTAGGAGGTCTGTGCCAGGAACTGGGAACAAAAACCAAATGTCTTTCAATGATATCAAAATGGTCATCATTTTCTTCCAGTAAAATGGACACACAAGGTAAATGACTCCTGATTCCTTTCTTACATGCTTCTTGAGGGTTTAAGAAGCAAGCAGGAATGACATCAGCACCTCCCTGCTCCACACTTTAGACCTTCAATTAATATTTATTTCTTCACATGTTAAGCAGAGAACTTCTCGATTTTATTCAAAGTAAACATTTACTCGTACCTATTTTGTGCCAGCAATGTGCTAGGAAGATGTTAGAAATGTCATGAAGAAGAAACATAAGAAGAAAGTTATGAAGAAACATAACTTCTGTGCTCAGAGAGTTCCAAGTTTAATGGAGGAGACAATCAGGAAAACTTATCACTACAACAGAGGTACGTGTGGGAGAAGTCTTTTACTGAGCATTGGGTGAAGGAAGCTCCCAGAAAGTTCTTCCTGGAGAAAGGGTTGCTCACCCTGTGTGACTTATGAGGGAGTAGGAAAGAAAAGGGAGGGGACTTATTTCTGTGCTCACATAAATGATCAACAATGCCATGTAGAATCAAGCAATACCAATGCTGGAAGGAGCCTTGTGCATCTTTTCCAATCTAAGTGTTGTTCAAAGCCACATAGCAGCAAATGTGAGTTCAATTAAAAGTTTCGGATGGAAATTTGTACTCTTTGATCAACCTCATTCATTTCCTCACTCCCTCTCTCCCCTAACTCCCGCCCCTGGAAACCACCAATCTATTCACTGTTTTCTGTGAATTCTACTTTTTTAGATTCCAATATGAATGGGATCATACAGTATTTGTATTTCTTTGTCTGACTTATTTCACTTATCATAATGTCCCCAAGGTTCATCAATGTTGTCACAAATGGCAGGATTTCCTTCTTGTTAATGGCTGAATGATATTCCACTGTGAATATATATCACATTTCCTTTGTCCATTCATCTGTTAACAGATACTTATTGTGGTAATCATCCTGCAATATATATGTACATCAAATCAGCACATTGTACACCTTAAACTTACACAATGTTATATGTTAATTATATCTCAATAAAGCTTGAAAATTTTTTTAAATTAAAAATAAAAATAAATTTAAAACTTTTTAAAAGGTTCAAATCCAAAAATATACCAGACTACTATTTAAAAAATGAGTTTTTTGCTCATACTTTTGCTCAAAACATGATTGTACTTCAAGAAAGAGACTTTAATTTGTCTGTCTGTTTGTCTGTTTTGGTCTTGGGATCATTTTGGTCGTCTCTAACTTTCCATTGAAAGGACAGCTACAATTTATTGACAGTTTATAACTTGCTTTCTATAAGTCCTTTCATATGCTTTCTCTTACACAAAGACGTGGAATGAAAAACTATTGGGGCAGGATCATGACTACTGAGCGTGTTGCTGCCGAGGCTCCACACACAGGATTGCTACCTCAATTTCTATTTGATGTTGAGCAGGACACAAAGCATAAAGAGTCAATTTGTTCAACTAACATCCAGTGAACAAGAATCTCCAAAGATCTAGGCACAATCCAGACCAACAAACAGCACACAGTTTAGCAAGGGATCAGATTGTAAACATGATAATGACATACTTATAGAATACAATGTCTTTACAATACCTAGAGGAATGCAGTATGGGAGTTCAGAAGAGGATGAAACATTAGTATGTTCGTGACTACTCCTGACTAGATGATAGGCTTCAAGAGAACAGGGACCGATATCTATCTTGTGTGCCATTCTAGCCTCTGTCCCTAGCACATAGGAAAAACTTAATAAAGATTTGTTAAATAAATGTGTGAATGAATGAATATATTTTATAAATGAGGAAATAGAGACCCACAAAGGGAAATCATTTGATTTGACCAACCCCCCAGAGCTAGCCAGAGAAATCCACACCCAAGTCCCCACACTCCTCCTAATCCAATGCACATCACAGTAGATCAACTACCGAAGGTTCAGGAAAATTTTCCAAGCATCTCAGGCTCACTGCTTCATAACTAGGCTGGATAAACTTATAACAACAAACATCCTGGCATTGGACATGGCTGACTGTATAATTAGCTTATTTCCTACCCATATGGAGCAGCTCAGCTCCTCTGCCTCAGTGGGGAATTCCTCGTATGTTGCTAGGGTTGCCTTCTGGGATTACATCTTCAGAGGTGCGCAGGAGGAGGAGTCGGCTGTACTGATAAATGAATCAGAGAGACAGGAGGAAAGCTGGCGGAGCCCCTGCAGGCAAGATGGATGGGGGCCGAATTGTGCTATGGCTACATCCTCCCTTGGCCTCTTCTCCCTCCGACCTGAAGTGGACCCAGTGGGGAAATAGTGCTTGCTTCTCCGGGACTTACTGCTTCGTCATAAACTTCCATCTCAGGGTTGTTGGGGGGTGTAGCG